CAGATGAACCTGTCCGTCACATCGCCCTGCGCTAATGCCCTGATATGTGCCTTCGTTCAGCTTTGTCTGTCTGTTAACGATCAACTCAGGGTTGGTGACGACTGGAGTCCCTCCTGGGTGGAGCTGAGACAAAGCTGGTCTGTGGTCATGTAGGGCTGAGGCTGGTGTGGCCGTTCAAGGGGCTCGCTGAAGGTCGGAGGTCTGGAGATTAGCTCAGATACAGAGGCTTGTCTCTCTGCGCAGTCCTACGGACGAGAAGAGGAAACCCAGAGTGTCAGTCACGGAATACATTTTAAACGTAACTCTAAGCCTCTCTGTGCACACTGAAAGACCGGCACCGGTCCCCGAACCAGGGGTTGGGAACCCCTGCTTTAAAAGTTCCACATGTGCCTGATGACCACTGCAGTGAGACGTCTCGTAAAGTAGAACTCACCGACTGCTGTGATAATCTGTGCTCCAGTCCAGAGGGGGGGGGTGGCTGGGTGTGTGTCGACCCAGCTGGTGGTGGTAGTCCAGTGAAGGTGACATCACCGCTCCATTGTTCAGCATCCCTCCTCCTATTCGTTGGTAGTCAGACTGGAGGGGTGGAAGGTAGCCCTGGAATCAGATAAAGTGAGGGCTACATGAGTGGAAGTGAGCGCAGACGACGGTTGTTCTGTCAGAGCAGCGGTACCAGGAACTACACCGTGAACATGAACAGTTCTATCTCCCTCTGACCAACAGCACGGCTGCAGCCGTGGTCTGTGAAAACAATGGCTGGAATTTTAAACCAGCAGTGAAAGTTGTGAACCAGAAAATGAAATCCATGGTCTCAAGTGGGAGTTCAGGGGTGAGAATATAAAGAGGGGAGAAAGAAAAACTTTTTTTTACATCATCATCATTATATCTGAACACAGACGAGCTTGGCCTATATATATATATATATATATATATACACATATATCTTTTGCCCTATAAATTCAATTAGTCAAAAGCAGCCAATCAAGCTGTGGTAAGAAGGAAGCAGACGAAGCAGAGGAAACGCCAGGGTGGAGGAGGAGGAGGAAGAGGAGGAGAGAAGAAATGCAAGGCAGCATTTCTTAAAAAGCAAGAGATAGGTGGAGGTACTGCAGGCAGCAGTCATAAAAACTGAGCTGTGTGTGTGTGTGTGTGAGTGTGAGGAGGAGAGGGAGAGACAGTGTGAGAGAGAAGAGGAGCGAGAGACAGAGATAGAGTGAGAGAGAGAAGGAGTCTGAAAGGGAAGTTAATCTGAGTGTTGTGGATGAAAAAGGAGGACAGCAGGTGGTTGGGTTCTCCCCCTTTGCCTTCCCCTCTCCTTCCCTACCTCACCTATTCATCCATTGTTCGGCAAATTCTTCTCCTTCACTCCTTCACAAAGACCCCATCTGCCTCTTTTGTCTCTCGCTCCCTCCCCCTCTCCCTCCCTTCCCCCCATCATTTCCTACTTTTCACTGAGGGAAAAAAGTTGAGAGGTCTGTCACTGTGTCCTCTCCCATTTTTTTTTCTACTCCAATTCTTTTTTTTTTTTTCAAATCTTTTTTTTGCTAAGCGTATGCAAAATAGGGTGAGAGAGAAGGGGATTATGGGAGTGTGGGATTTAGTAGTGCACTATAAAAGGGGATAAAGCAGTTAGTGGGACTCTCACCCAACTGTGTGGAGAAGACACTCAGACTATTTCACTGTGGACTGGAGTTCAGAAACTCTCCACATAATAATCCTGGCAGCTGAATTCATCTGTTAAAAATAATAATACTTACAAATAAAATGTATATTTTTCAGAGCAAAGTGTGTTTGTTTCCATCCAGATTTTTAAAGTGAACTCCTTCACGTCATTGTGACACAGCACACCACCAAATGTGACCTCTGACTTTAACCCATCACCATCAGAGAACCGCAGTGCTAACTTGGCAGCTGGTGGACTCGAACCTTAAACCTTCTGGACCCAAGGACGTCTGAGTATGTTCTGTAGGTTAACAGGATCAGTTCTGGTTCTGAAAACAATTTCTCTGCTCCTGGCTGTGCCGTAGTTTTGGTAAAACTCATGAAATATGAAACTATGAGTGAAAAATATTTTCATAGAGAGAGATTTTGTTTTCAGATAACTTTAAAAATCTGTTTTTAAAGCTCAGCATTGGAAGTGAAAACATTTTCCACCTTCATCATCTGATCATCATCAGATCAGAACCAATCTGTCTCCTTGTCCTTTGGTGCTGATGTTCAGAGTCTTAAAGACGACCCCAGGTTTGGGGGGACTGACCTGTGTGATGGCAGGTGAGTGTGTCATTCCCATTGAATGTCCACTGAGCTGCTGGTGCTGGTGCTGGTGCTGGTGGTGTGGACTGTGTAATCCACCCAGGTGTCCCTGGTTATGGAGGGGAGGGGTGACCTGAAGAGGAGGGGTGGACGACGCCACAACGCTGCCCAGGGACAGCGCTCCCTGGTGCTGGACACCGGGCTGCGGCATGGCGCCCCTGGAGGACAGACCCTGGAGTTGGTGGTGCATCTGAGTGTGGGGGGGGGACAGGTGGGGGCCGAGGCCCGGGCTGGAGGCATGGGAGGAGTGGGATGGGTGAGGGTATGACATGTACATGCCAGGGTGCTGGTGTGGGGGCAGAGGGTGGGAGTGGGCCATTGAGGGGGTGGAGGGGTGTTGGCCTGGGTGACCAGGGTAAACTGAGGGCTTGGGTGTGTACATTGAGGTAGAGGAGGAGGTGGAGGAGGAAGAGGAGGAGGAGTGGGGCAGCGTTACGTCTGAGGGGTCGTTGTAGCTCTGAGGAAAGAGATGAAAGAGAGAGTTCGATTTTTTAAATTACAGCAGAGAAGAAGTGACGGCAACAACCAAGTGGAAATGAGGATTAGATTAGACAGAAACCTCTACCTGCTGTTATTACAGCAAATGTCACCATGTCCCTGAATATGTTCTGTCTTATTTACCCTGATTAATCCTACTCAGAATTTAATTTTTTTTTAACATGGTTCTATCTGTGGTTTCAGTAACAGTTAGAAGTCCTACTGGTTTGTACCTGTGAGACCAGGCTGGCTCTGTAGGCAGCCAGTTGTTTCAGATACTCCTTCTTGGCCGTCTCAGTCTTCTTCTTGTACACCTGAAACACAAACACTTCACTCGTACGACAGACTTGTATCTAACTACTCAGCTCCTGTTCTGGGGAAATGACTCAAAGCTGTGTTTGTGGTTGATTTGAATAACTCCAGGACTCACCTGTTTCTGTTCCTCCCCCAGGCCGTCCCACATGGAGGCCACTATCTTTGACACTTCCCCAAAGGTGGCGTTGGGGTTCTGGGCCTTAATGTTGGCCTGTGTGTCCCTGAAGAACAAGGCATAGGCCGACACCGGTTTCACTGGTTCGTTGGGGTCTTTTCGTTTCTTCTTCTTTGGTGTTTTCAGTTTCTTGGCGATGTCCACCGTCGCCGGCCGCTTTTCTGCTCCAATCCCATGCTAGCAGGAAAACAAATGTTAAAATGTTAGGGATTACAGGAGAAAAAAAACATGTCACCATCCTAGTAGTTTTATTTTTATTATCATTATCTCCATCATCCTGAGTAGCAGTATTATTATATTCAACAGTGCAGCGACTGTTTCGTTTCTCCAAAACACGATAATAAGTTCTGGTTTCAGAATGACACAGTAGGTGAGGCCGACCTTTTCCATCTACTTCAAATTATGGACAAAAGTCTATAATGATACTTTTTTTTTGTCTTTGCATTCGCACATCGACAAATTGCAGTGAAGATATGACTCAGTATCATATGAATCATAAACCAAATCTGACGTCACAGAGGACCCTTCTCTGGAGATGCAAAAGTGTGTGTTTTCTGTGTGTGTGTGTGTGAAAAAGTGTGTGTTTTCTGTGTGTGTATGTGTGTGAGACTGGTTTACCCTGAGACCATCATCATGGTCATCCTCATGTACAGAACTGGAGGGAGACGGTGTGGCAGATTTGCTCTCCGAAGGTGAAGGAGAATTGTGGGTAGCAGAGTTAGCTCCTAGCCCCAACTGTGATTGGTTGATGGTGGACAGCTGACTCTGCTGACTCATGTTTGACTGGGTCCTCGGCCCAAGAGCCGCTTCGATTGGCTGTTGGCTGGCGGTGAAGCGGGAGTCGGAGTTCACCATCTGCTGCATCTTTGAAAAAAAACACAGAAACATGAAGACATATTTAAACATGTAACAACATGATTTCTGTTTGTAGTTCTGAAAGTAATTGATAAAGTTTTTTTTCTTAAAGATATTAAATAAATTATTTATTTAAATTAGTTTACAAACCATCTCTTCTATGTTCATTGTAAAATGTTATTGATGAAATGGTAATAAACAGACAAACAACTGAAGGATGACATGTCTGCCTCCTTCATCACCTGTAGTACCAGTTTATCTACAAGTCTATAAATAAGAGTGTAATTCTGACAGTTTCTCTGGAAAACGAAACATATCTTCTACCGACACCCTCAGCTCGGAAACTCTGATACTTTATTACTGCAGTATTCTGACAGCGGACTCGGTGAAAAACGTGTGAGTTTCCTCTTCATAGGCATCTTTGAGCAACGCGTGTGGTTTTTTAACCTTCTGGGAACACGAAACATAAACACGGTTAGCAGCCGCAGAGTAAGAACGGAGATACAGGAGGAGGTTTAACAACAACGCATGCATCAGCAACACGTACTGGAAAACATTGGCTGTGGTTTGGCACTGGTTGAGGTGGGACCAAAACACCAAGGCAGCAAATACTGACGACATGGCACCGAAATACAATTAGACTAAGGGCAAAAAAATGACCTGTTGAACTTTCCCTCACAGGTCACAGGGTGACGGACCATTGAAGAGGACTTTGTCATTATTTCCACCAATCGTGGTTAATGAGGGGATTTTAATACAAAAAGGAAAATCAGCAGTTTATTCTGTCCCCATGTTATCCATATCTATATTTATCTATAACTTACTGTATCTAAAACCCACAGATTTTTCCTTTAACTTTAAAAAAACAACCTCTGCTGCCAGTGTCAAACAACTATTATAGCACATACAATATTCTTTATAAATAAAAATGAATTCATTCAATCACCATGATGATAATGAAAATGAATTCATTCAATCACCATGATGTGAAGTGTTTCGCCTTCAAATGAGGTCAGTTGAAGGTAATACACAGGTTACCTTCAGGTACACGTTTGTCTGTGTACTGGCACTCAAACACACACACACACACCTTCACAGACCGCTACCAACCCGTCTTCAGCCGAGCCAGACACGGTTGCCTGGCAACCATAATTCACGGAAGGGCAGTAAATGTATGTTGGTATGAAAATATAAAATAGAAAGAGACGGCAGCGCTGAGACGGAGAGAGATGGAAAATAATAAGTCTCTCTCTCTCTCTCTCCTCCACCTGATCATTAAACTACTCACCTGTTACAGATTGTCACAATGGAATGAAAGAGATTTGGTTTAAATTCAAACTTCTTACATCCTCAGAGGTTAAAATATCCCCTTAAACCACACCCTGACTAACAGTGACAGTTATTTAATGTCAATATCGACGTGAGGACAGACTGACGGATGAAGCTGTGGGCGGAGGAAAAGTTTCATTATCAATAACCAGGCCTTGGTTACACACAGTCAGTGTGTGATCTGGGCCTGTACGGCAGTTTAATTTTCTTTCACTTTACTGTGAAATGGAAACTGTGAACATGAGGAGAAAACAGCTGCTGTGAAAAACCGTGTTCTGATCATTTAACGGAATAATAATGTTGATAATTATGTAACAAATAACACAGAAATAACAAAAGTGGAATAATGACTCGTTACTGACATCATTTAAAAAAAAATTACAATGGAAGGAATAATAGTCGTGTTCATTTCACTGTGTACGTTTGATGGTAACTGCTCAGAGGAACGTCCGTCACAAAGGTCAAATGTCAACTCACCACTGATAACGTGCTGGTCATCGGGCCGCCGTCAGGACTGAAGGTTCGGCCATCTTGGTTCAGTACGGCTCCATCTCGACCGCGGGTCATCCCGGACAGTTCCATGCCCTGCAGCTGGTACAGGTGATGGGAACCTGAGCCGGGGCGGGGGTCCAGAGGGTGGAACTGGCCGGAGTTGGAGTCATGTGGCAGGTGGGGGGGCATGTGGTCCGGCAGAGTTGGAGGGGTGATGGGTGGGATGTTGAAGTCCTCGTCGCCCAGACCATTTACAGAGTAGGACTGGTGAGAAACAGACGCAGGTTTGAGTCCACATCTGTAGTTTGAATGAAACTCTCTTCATTTTACAGCCTCACATTAAGCAGAAGACAGAAGGGTGCAGTAAATGACAGTAGTGCTTTAAAAGTGAATTCCAACGAGAGAAAAAAGAAAATGAAGTGGGGAATCATGCCGGAGAAAAGTGAGAGACCTGAGGGCAGAGGGAGAGAGAGGGTGAGAGAGGCAGCGTTAGAGAATCTCTCTCATACTAATCTGACAGAGGAGATCTTTTATCGACAATGACAGCCTTTCTGCTCGGCTGGCCACACTCCTTTGCTCTTCATTTCACTCCAGCCGTCGTCATCTGCCTCTCTGTTTTGCCGCTCACTCCTCCAATCTCATCCCTCGTTCTTCTTTCATCTCTCTCTCTCTCTCTCGGTCTCAAACCCCGGTGAAGATCTGTGTTATTGACACACTACTAACCCGACCGACGCTTCAAAACACCGTCTGAATGAACGAGCTGACCTTTTTGTCGTGAGATGATGGGAAATATTTCCATAACCAATGAAATTGGCTGAGTGGTTCATTTATTTCTTCACTGCACTACGTTTACCCCTCACTCAGTGAATCCCTGTGACTGTGACTGCTCCCTGCAGACAAATCAAGGTTTTTGAATGGAATTAAAAAGAGAAGAGAAAAAAAAAGGAAATGTCGAATATTTTGAGCTGAGGGTGACTGAGTCGAGGTAATTAACAGTCTGTAATTAATATCATTTTGTGTTGTTTCTGATAGACATGAAATTGATTCCTTCCATTGTTGGTAACGTTCCCAGTCCAGTCACTACTGGTATTTAATATTTGTCGAATCTAAAGGCTTCATCAGGAGATTAGAGGATGGCATTTCAAATGGCTGCTCATGTAATTACACACTGTCACCACTACACCACTACACGATATATTTATTATTTATTATTAATGGCTTGTTGTGACTCCACTGTGTAAATGAAGAAAGTGAGAGGTGTGTAAAAAAAGTTTTCCCTTCTAATAAATTAAAAAAGTGTGTGTGTGTGTGTATTTACCCATGGTAGACGGTGTGTATCAGACATGTGTTGTTCCCTCCTCCAGTGCTGCTGTGAGGGCTGGTTTTGGGGCGACACTTTACTGAGGGGGTTTGGTGGCTGTGGGGCACGAAACTGTGAAAGAATCACAAAGACAAAGGTTCAAACGGGATCAAAGGTCACAAAGAGGTCAGAGGTCACGTTGAAAGGTCAGAAGAAGAGAGCACAGATGAGGCCTAGCTGGAGGAGTGTGAGAGAAAAACCAAAAGCACTCGTTCTCCCTCATATCCAGGGTGTAGAAAAACCACAAACGTAGGTTTTTAAACATGTGTGATTGTGAGTTAATGTAGGGAACGTTGACGGAGAAAACCATTAAAAACAGACACATCATCACAAAACATGAGTCATCATTTTTCCATCTCCGTCTTATATTTGAACAGTCATTGTTTTTTGGGGGTTTTTTTCCAATTTTTTTTTTCTAAATCAATGTGAAACACAAGACCCAAGATGAAGCTCCTAAAACCTGAAGTGCTGGCTCGACGGGCAGGACTCATTTGAGTGTTGCGGTCTACTGACTAGACCAGATGTCATCTGACTTATCTAGATCAACTAGTTGTACTCACTGCTCCTGGAAATAACAGAAAATGTGAACTCTCTGACCCTTTGTACCTTTCGAGTGTCTCTGAGTTCATTATCACCCCAGCAGAGATCAGATACGTGAGGACACTCCTCTGAGAGCGTGAGCTTCGTTTTGAACATTTGTATTTCTGGGTCTAATGTCGTTATTTTTTTTTCCATTTTTCTGCTTTTTTTTAAAAGCTAACGAACAACCGGCGTATGAGGAGTTCATATAAAAATCTCTATTTTACATAGCTTTTCTTTTCACAGTCCAACGCACCCGATGTTGGAGCTCCGTTTGTTCAATACCAACATGCAGGTGGAGCAATAAATAAAGCATGAGAGTGGAGTTTTGAGAGTATTTAATAATTTAAATTGAGTCATCTGCTCCGACCTGTTTGGACGAGAGGAGAAGGAGGAGAGAGGGGTGTTAAGAACGGTTACGTAACTGTTATATTGGAGTACTGACAGGTGAGATGTTGATGACAGTCATCAGTGTACGAAAAAAGTAACAAGAAATAATGGTCATGGCGACACAGTGGAAACAGAATTTTTTTTTTCAACCCCAGAAATGCCCCCGCCCCACCACTTAAGATCAGCTGTTATAAATAAGCACAGCATCTCTGTAACATCACAAACTATGACATACAGAAACTGACTGATTACACCTCCATCATCTCCATCTTATTATGAAGATCAGCAGCTTCACCTGCCGTAGCTCCACCGTGATTGGCTGATTGATACTACCACTAATAAAAATTCTTGATTTTTTTTTCTCTCAGTTTTCAAACCACGGTCTATTCTGGTTTTCCGTTCCCTTACATCCCAAACAGACGACACGTGGCAGGGTCAGAGTGGAGTCCATAATAAATCCCTATATTCTTATTCCTCACACCAACTCCCAATTTTCTGACGGCACAACGCACTGAATAAAACATCAAACCAGAGTTTCCTGTACCGCTCCATATTCTCTGGATTGTACCGGATGAATAATTCACTACGCTGTTTGTTATTACTACAGGCTGGGCCGACGAGTGACGTCATGTTGTACTTGCAGACCCACAGCCCACTCCTCAGAGTCTTCACTGGAAACTCCACACTCACCAGGGCAGCGGCTCCCAAACTCTTTTGGCCGTGCACCCCCCAATTCACCACACCGCAACGGTATTAAATATATAAAAATATTTAATATAAGGATAGATTTATAAAAATAAATATAATTTTAATCTCATCAATCACAGGACGGTTAGATTTATTCAACTAATCGTGATAAATCGACATAAAATCAAATTTTCCAAATATAAAATATACAATAATATTTGATCATTTCTTCGGTCCTAAAACTACTGACTGATGACAGCCACGTTATCTACGATACATCACATGGATAAAGCCACTGATCACACACGGATGACACGGCTCACAGATTTTTACACAAACCTGATTGGTGGAGGGGTAGTCCAGGCCTGCTTCTGGCACACCCAGGAACATGGCGTCTCCACCCACCTGGAGGGAACACAAAGCCAGGGCAACAGAGTCAATAAACCATCAAACACAGCCAACACACAGCAGTCAGGAAGGAAATAACAAATGGAGACGTGGAGTCAGTTTGAGTGGTTCGTGGTCTGACGTCACACAGGACCAAGGTGTCAACTCTGACTCATCTTCATTTCACTGACTGTGAACTAACGGGGACTCATTCTGTCGAATCCATTTAAAACAAACCACTTTCATTTGTCGATCAACTTTTACACGTGCAAATACACAGGACAAAATCTGCATCCAACCACGGACGACACAGGAGCGGTGGCTGACAAACACCTGGAGGGAGGGGGGGAGAGCCTCCAAGTTCCACTTGGGTTGGGATTTGAACCGGCAAACGTCACAACACCACCATAAAAAAACCCATAAAAATGGGTTTGTGAATGAACTCTTCCTGATTGAAAGTCCTCGTCTACAAACTTCACTTGAACCTGTGACATCTGAGATGAGACAGTTTTTCACCTGAGTCCATAAAACATCAGAGTAACAAACAGACACAGTAGAACATTTGAACAGGTGGGTGAAAGCCACACACACACACACACACACACACACACAGGTAAATAGGCAGGTGTAACGGCCTTATCCATTCACCAGCTGCCAGAGTATAATGCAAATGAGGTGTAGGTTTACAGAGTCAACAGGAAGAAGAAACTGCGCTGTGTCGACTTCTCAAACACACACACACACACACACACACTCACATGGAAGGACAGCTGCCCTCTTCGTGCACCTGTAACAAGTCGACCACAGTTGTGGTAGAAGCGGTGACGTCATCTCTCCATCAGAGCTCAAACCCTCAAAACAAGGCTGAACGACGAGGTTGAATCAAAAATAAACCTCTTCACTATGAAAAACAACAACAACAACAACAACAACAGCAACGCGTCTTCAAAGCTGCTGAACTGAAGCGCTGCCATGTCGACACGTGTGATGTAACGGTTGCTGCCGCTGTTGGACCTCGGCGTGTTACCATCTTGTCAACACGACAGCTTTGAAAGCACAGATTTCAGCAGCATCAACGTTGACAGGCAGAAAATCTAAAAAACATTATTGACTCATATTGATTGTATTTAGTTTCTGGGGTTTTTTTTTTTTTCAAAAAGAAAGATAGGAGTGAAACAGAGGCAGAGAGAAGGAGAAGTCAACATGGCCGACGTGGCCGTGCTTTAATAAAAGACCATCATATTAAACAGACACTTCTTCACGTCTACCTCTTCTCTCAGTGGCTACTCCCTCTATTCATGTGTGTGTGTGTGTGTGTGTGTGTCCGTGTGTTAGTGTGCAAAGCAAAGGCTTGAATAACAAGCAGCAGCCTAAGTAGATCGGTGCGGAGGAAAGGGGGGAGAGTGAGAGAGGGTGAGAGAGGGAGAGTTAAGATGAATGACAAGGACAATGAAATAGAGAGAAATACAGTGAGGAGTCGAGGGGGAGGAGGAGGAGGAGGGAGGGGAGTAGGAAGAGGAGGAGGGGGAGGAGGAGGAGGAGGAGGAAGAGGAAGAGGAGGGGAGAAACTGAAATTAAAGTGTATTCTACTTGAGGAAGATAGAAGGTTCTAATCATGAACAGATCTCCGTTGATGTTCTCCAACACGGCGAGATCTGAATCACTCAGTGTTTGATCTTTTTTAATAATGTGAAGAAACAAATCTGTCAGTGAGACGACGACAAAAAAAAAAAAGAATGGGAATGTTTCTAATTTTAAATAAAAAAAAAAAACATGCAGAAATACAAACGATACACCTCTCAGGAACTCAGAGATTATAAAATTAAAAAATGAAATCAGTAAATTATAAAACAGCAGAGGAAACGTTGGTTTAACAGGTTTTACATTTAAAAAACAAAATCAGCTTTTGTCAAAAACAGTGAGATGAAGGAAATTCCGAGGAAGGTTTAGAAGACAGTAGGTGTATTAGTTAATAACCAACTGTATCATGTGATTGTAAGCCCATGCTGGTCATACCAATAGGTAACCATTAGCCTAGTTAATAAGTTAATTTTCAAATGTAATTCTATTATCAACACTTGTTTCCTGTGAAAAATAACTTCCTCTGTGTAAATGTAACCGTCTTTAATTTAATCAGGCTTCAAACAGCACTGCTAAACTGTTGACTTATTTCAAATGATTGGAATATAATTCTGTTGATCCATGATGCATATAAACATTTTTCTATTTTTATTAGCCGTTGGTGTTACCTGTTACCTGTAGAGCTGTGTCTGCGGCCCGGAGGTTGAGCACCACTGACCTTTATAACAGTGTCCTACAGTTGAGACCATATTGACTGAAACCTCAACCTAAATAAAATACTTGGTTTCAGGAGGACACAAAAGGAAAATTATACTTGTTTTTGTTTGTGTGACTGAACAACGCCGAGGGAAACAGTTACATCGTCGGCGTGCATAAAAAAAAAACCTTCAGCAACGGAATTGCACATTGCACAAAAAAAGATGACAAAGAACAAATATCAAAGATTAGAAAGAAACTTTGATTCAAAAACAAACTCACGGCAGAAGGAAAAAAACGGTCAAAGGATCAAGTTCACACGTTTCACATGTGCTCGCGTTTTAATCGGCGACAAATCTGCAAAGTATGATCACAAACAAACGCAGAGACTACAACATTTTCCGAACAATGTCTGGTGAGCACGTCCGATCTCTTCCAAAACAACTTAATTGATCCTAACAATTGTTACTAATAAAGTACACGCCAAACAATGCAGCAGTGATTGCGGAGTGTGATTTAATTGCAATATGTTTGTTTTGGAAAGGAAATCTTGATAATTAGTCTCTTCTGGCAGGACTTAGCTTCTGCCCATCTGTTCCATCTGGCATTTCCACCACCAACCAGGACTCTCTTCACGCACCGTCCCATGATTCAACCAAGTGAAACACCTTCAGCTACATCGGCACACGAGCATCAATGATATAAGACACAGAATCATTGGTGTGCATCGGGAGTGGGCCGGTGCGGCGGGGAGTCTGGCGAGGGGTTTTTTTATGTTTGGAGTCGCGGCCAAAACAGACAGACGGACAGACAGATTGACTGGCCGTTGTGCTGATAGACAACTAGATGAGATGCCGACACCTTGGCTGGTGGAGACACAATAGCAGTTTGTAATAGTGAAGAAAAACAGCGTGGACGGCAGCCAAACCAGACAATGTTGCCTTAAGTCTGGCTGCGGTGTATGTTCTTCCAAACAGTGACTCTGACTGTACAACCTGAGGATTATGAATTAGTGTTTAATACCAGATCCAAAAGAAGAAAAGTCTCATGACTCGCACCTTGACCTCAATGTTGCTATTAAACATGAATCTTCTCAAAAAAAAAAAAAGTTAGTTTCGTTTTAACCGTCAAGCAACAAACGCAGGCGAAGTGGCAACCAGAAACTTTTCTTTTTTGCCTCTTGTGAATTTGTACTAAATGATCTCGTAAAAGCGTCCATATTGACGTGAGCTGACTTTTAACAACTTCCTCCGTGTACCAGTCTTTTTGGCTATTTTTTGGTGTGTCATCACGGCAAACACTGCATGTTTGTTTTTTTTGTTCCATGACCAAACTACTTTGAAAGTCACCTGAATCACTGCACAGTCATATACAAACTACGGGGAAACTATGATGCCTTTTAACTGTTTCAACCAAAGACGGTCGACTCCGTACCCTACAGTTGACGGTGTTTATTGCTTATTTAGAAATATAAAATGTTGACCTTTGTTCAACATTTGTCTCAAAGATTTTGTCAAGTTTAAGTCACTACTGTTAAATTAAAATGCCCAGTGTAAAAACAATGCATGTGAGATAAAACACAAGAGCCACAGACACACAAAAAGAACACAACAAACACAAGAATTCAAAACACTAATACAAGTCACTTTTGTATTACACTGCAAACCAGTGACCTCAGTCCTGATGATTAAAATTGTTTTTTTTTTAATCACAGAATAAATTCAAACCAAAAAACATCATTCTAATCAAAATAAACCAGGGGTTAGATTTGATCGTTCAATAATAAAAACATTTACTCCACCAGGACGCTCTTATTATGGCTGCTTCAGAGGAGACGTAGACGTGCAGCCCAGAACATACAACGACTATAGGTCACTGATAATAAACTGATCCCAAGGTGACTCATAATCAAGACACGGGGTGGACTCTGGGCTGGAGCTGGGATTTATGAAGTGCTGTATGAGCAGTGGTGTCTGAGAAACCAGCGTCGCGTACGAGCGCTGTGGAGAGGAGCAGCATCCAAACGTAAAGTGTTGGTTTGACCGTGCAGTCAGACCACGTTAGCACCGCAGCTCTCGCCGTTCAGATTTCAGTGAAAACGAGTCGTATCAGAGGAGATTCAATGAATCTGTGAAACTGGTCATTCACTTTTTTATGGTGGTTATTCTCACCAGGACATAAAGATGAACACACACTGATATATACACAAATACATTTTATTCAATAGAATAATAATCACCAGGTGCACCACAAAAAAACCCAAGTCTAATGGTCACCACGGTCGGATCATGATACACCCAAAAGAAGACTTGAAGAAAATGAAAAACATTCTGTATCTCCACTCTGCAGATGGAGCAGCTGTGGCCTGATGACATCATTTTGCAGCTACTGGTTACCACAAAAAAATATTAGAAAGTCCTAAGAGTTGCTTTATTAACAACTGTTGTCATAGTCTGTAAGTTTAACACCTTATAAGGGTCAGGTGATGAACTCGTTGGCTCCCTCTACTGAAGTTAGCTTCACCTAACGTCTGCTGTGAACCAACTGCGACAGCATCGTGTTTTTTACATGGATTATTGACATGTGACACGTTGTGATGATGTCACACGCCGTGTCATGTTTATATAATGGGCCTGGCTGCACAGTGGTGTCACGCTATTTAACAAAACAAAACTGACTCCGACAGAGAAGTGTGTTGACAAACCTGTTAACATGTAGGTGGGAACAGAAAAGTGTCTTCTGTCGTTACTTTACTTTTTAAAATATTATCCACAAAAACAATTAACGTCTGCGTTTCAGAAACCCATCCAACAGCAGAGAGCTGCAGTAGTGTACTGAGCCGGGGGGGGGCAGGGGGGGAGCGGGGCAGTTTATGCAGCTCGCTCGTCAAATCAGGAACCCTCCAATCACAGGCCCAGTTCTGTAACCACCAGACCACAGGACTGGGTCAAGTGGTTCAGATCTACTGGTTCACAACCTGCACCTAGAGTCAGAGCCTGAGTCAGTGGACATGTGCCAGCCACTGGAAAATCAAACAGTCCACAGGAGAATGAAGGCTAATATCACTGTCCAAGAAGACACACCGTTGTTTCCACTGCAGTAGTATCCATGTAGTGTCAATAATAGGCTTAAAATATTCATTTATCTTCAACTGAAACCGACTATGAGCTTTGGCACAAACTCTGTTTGTGAAGTCAAGACCTCGGCTAAGTGACTGAATAGATGTGTGTGTCCTGAACTCATCACACCAAAAGCCCAGACAGTAGTATAGACAGGAGCACATAGTATATTCAGAAAATATATATATATATATATACAGTATATAAACCTACTCTACGGCCTTCTTCCGTCCTCTCTTGTTTCTCCTGCGCTCTATTTGCTTTAGAAATACCTCAGCCAGCTTTCACAGTCATCATGTTTACATTAGACGCTCTCTCTCTCCTTCTCACTGTCTCTCCAACCTTCTCTCTCCCTCATTCATCCCTCTCTCTCTCTCTCTCGCTCTCTCGCTGCTTTCCATTCGAGTCTCCTCTGCAGAGCTGCTCATTTATTTCACTCAGTGATGTATTCAAACTGCTCCGACACAAATACAATCTATTGTTTCGTAGCGTTGCCAAAATCACTGTTACTAATTTTTTGTTTGTTCCCAATCATGTCTGCCAAAACCCATTATGGGCCCTGTTAACCAAGCAGAGCTCAATACGGAGTCTTCAACGCGGTGACACTAATCTGGCTCCCGGACACAAACATTTCATATATGCTAATAAAGGCTTTATGAGAGAACGCAGAAAGTGGAGGCACAGAGAGAACGCCAGTCTTCCAGTACATGTTATTACAGCAATAAAAATATGCAGAGCCATCTGTCATTGGCAGCACAGTCACAATGAGCAGGAGAATCAGGAGCAGCGTTTAAGTGATTTCACTCAGGTTTCCCCTGACGCTGTGTACGTACACGTATAGACAACAACAAACCACATCAAACTGGAGGAACTACAGAAAAAATCAGTGGGGACCACTTTCTGTGATTTAGTTTTAAATAATAATAATAATTTTTTAATGTTGTTTTCTTACTGCATTTCTCAGAAAGCGTAGCAAAATTATCATAGTTCAAGAATATTAAGTTTCAGCAAATATTCACATTTTACAACATTTTGAACGTGGATGTGTCATTTATGGTTTGGTTTGTAACTCTGGAGTCATTCTCCAGTTGTGGGGCAGTGGTGCACTGGACAGTACCAGTACCAGTTGGTCAAATACCCTGTGCACAGGGTAAGAGACCAGTAATCACTGAGTTTCACAGCCTCAGGTCAAGTCAAGAATGACCTGAGGTCAGAGACACAGGGTGTGGAGCAGAGGTCCACCCCAGGACAGTGTCGGAGGTTCATATTCAGAACTAAACACAGCCTGGTGAACCTTTGTTTTAATTTAGGTGAAAAAACAGCAACAGTTTTGCTAAATTTCTAAGGTAGCTAATCATTCATGTCATTCCTCTGACATGGAATACTTTTTTCTTTTTTTGGGACTTTTTCAAACACCTTTTTTCCATTTTCTCCCTTCCCTTCCCCTCTGCTCTCCCCCACCACAGTAATATGATATCTGCTATCAGGCGGGCAGAGCCGTGAATCAAAAGACACAGAGAAATATAGCACAAACCTTAGTGGCCCAGCCCCACCCCCAACATGAGCTCCCTCTCTCTCTCCCTCTCTCTCTCTCTCTGTCTCTCTGTCTCTCTCTTCTACATTATCCCTACCCCCAACAACCTTCTTTTCCTACCCCCAATCATCTCTCTCTCTCTGTCTCTCTCTCTCTCTCTCTCTGTGAAAAAATAGGTTCCCTCACAACACATGCCTGTGTGTGCAGCTCCTGCTATACTTCATGTTGGAGGGACTCATACATTCTGTGCCTCAGTAGAAGCCTACAGACTTACAAAGCATACAGAGCACATGTACACCCAGTGGCCCACATGTCAGATCTGACCTATAAAGTGGACACCAGAATATTACCCAAGAAAATGAGGAAAAAAAAAATCCCATTAAAAATTAATTAAACAGCAAAGGTCTCCTTCATGTGACTCCACGATGGGAACATGCAAACGCCACAACGCTCGCGTCTGTAAAAGTGCTGTGCAGGAATGTCACAACGGAGCTGATAACAGTGGGAGCAGACAGTGTCGGGCGGCAACTTTGTTTGAATTTGGTGACGGTGATAGTGGCCAGCAGAAACACAAGTTCACCAGCCAATGGGTTTGTTTTTTTGTTTTTTTTGTCACCACATTTGCCCTGTTTTATTGGAGTGACATTTAAGTGGAAACACAGGAACAAAGATGAGGACAAAATGGTGGGATCTACTCCAATCTTTGTGTACGAAGGTGTCGTGAGCTAGTACGTGTTTCAAACACGGTTACTTGTGAGTACAAGGTCGTCGCATGACGCTGCGCTTTAGAAAATATGGTTCTTTGCATACAGAGAATATTAGCAGTAATTCACAGGAAAGACAATAATAAAGTCAGTCACTGCATTTCAACAATGTGATCTGTTAACAAATACTGAGGTCACCTGCAGCTCTTATCATTATGTCTTTGAACTTTGTATATAAAAGTGCAGTGCCTGTAACTGAGGTGAAATCAGTTTTGGTTTGTGGAGAATGTTTTCACCTTTTAGCTTTACAGGAATATTTTTTATAATATGCAAAACATGTTTAAAACTTTGTCTTAATGAAATAATTATTTTTTTAGACCGACTGTTTTATTCCCCCATCCTAATGTAATAGTAAAAGGTAAAAAAAAAACCCTGAAATGCTAACTCTGCTGCTATTGTGTAATGTGTTTGTGTGCAGTAGCAGTTGGGAAATATAGTAGTACATGACTTGCATATTACTTATGCACATGCAGTACTTAGTAATAGAACACGTTTTGTGTCATTTTTTACATTTCAAAATGCCACAACATCAGGAGAACCTTTTTTTTTTTTTTTTTTAAACAAAAAGTGATTCATTAGTGTGTGTCGGTGGTGGTGTCCCAGTGTTCTGTGTGTCCTGTCACTATGACGTGACTCTGACCCTGACCTTTCTCTGGAGTGAGACAGCACAGCATCACGGCCATTGTCTACCAGCACCAAGACTCTCCTGCTTTTTATTTCATTATTAACTACAGGTGAAGCCAGGATTTAGTGACAGGAATAAACTGCACCTAGCTTCATTAGCTGTGTTAATAAACTGTGACCTAAGAGGCCAATTAGTTACCGCTTAATTGCAGAGCAGGAGAGAATAACAGACAGTAGGCTGAGCCTGTCAGAGTAACATCACAGTGGCATTCGTTCTTGATACAAAACTGCGTGTGTGTGTTTTTTTTTTTTTTCTCACCTTGTTGGAACCAAAGGCCGGGTCAGGGTAGGAGAGTTGGCCGAGTCTGCTGTGGTTTAACACGGCCAGAGGTTGAGGGGGAGGCGGATAAACTGACACATCCATCACGTTGGGAACATCCACTTCAGCCAGCTCAACTCTTCTGCTCCGTCTTTTCTTTTTTTTAATTATATGATCGCGATCGCCCAGATAGTTTCCTTAAATATTAAATTCCCCCCCCTTTTTTAAAAGAATCACTCTAAGGTAATCTTCTGAGAGTGAGACATAGAAGCCGGTTTAAATCAGAAGAATAAGAGTTGGAGCTCAACTTTGAGGTGGATGCTGTCTGCTCCTCTCCACCGTGGATCTCATGCTCCGCTGGCAGCCGTTGTGAGTAGCAAACTTCCCGGTGAACGCACTTCTGCCTTCTGCGTAAGTAGAGGGCGGTTCGCGTAAAAAAAATAATTAATTATTGGTAAAATTAATAACAAAACACCGGTTCGCCACCCTCTTCTGCCCCGTCTGGAGTTAGTACTGGTACTGGATCCAAACGCAGCGGTTGTGTTCGGACCCGATCTGTTTGTCCTGGCTGGGACTTTGTGCGTCTTCAGTGTTCTGCTCCGTGCCACCGCGCCTTGAGACCACCACACTACATACAAAGAGATCCGCGTGAAGCTGGCGCCACGCAGCACGAAGACGGAAGTGTTTGCTGGTTACAAAAACAAAAGCCCGGAAACGCAGGAAGGACGAAAGGTCTTACGTAAATATGAAAACCACTAACTTCCACACTGCATCAGCCAAGTGTAATCAATACTGTAATCGGCCTTTATTTAACAGGTAAAAATAACAAAATTATATTACTTTATATTATATTTAAATGCATTTTTAAAACATAAGCACATTTGATGGACTTTTAGGTTATAATATTATGTCATTTATTAATGAATTCACAACTGAATTGTAACTATAAGGTCCTGTACTAACAAAAAACTAATTAAAAACTAAAAACTAACAACAAACAAAAATTGAAAACATTTCGGGGGGGCTAATGATTGGTCAACATCTTTATAATGCTGTTGAAAATACACGCAGGGGGAATAGAGACTGCAAACTTTATTCGCACTACGTCATAAATTATGCATAGTGTTTTTGCAAAATATTCTCTAGTGTTCTCCCCCCATCATATAAATGCACACATGTATATACACACACACACACCAGAAACCAGCCCACACATGCTTACTGAACATATATACAGTGTGCAACTCACCCTTCCCCCCACACACACACACACTCACATACATATATGCACCCCTCCTCTCTGAAAAAGGCATAATTCACTTTCATATTCTCCTCCCCCACACACAGCTCCTCTACAAAACCATACACACACTTAAATGCACACATACACACATATAGGTTTTATGCTTTTCATTCTCTTAGCCCATTAGCCTAACCTTAATCATTACTAATATATGCCCAGTCTTAGATCTTACCCTAACTCTTAACTCTTATCCTAAGTCAAAACTAGTCTTTATCCAACAGGGGAAATGCCCCAATGGTATTTCCCCGCCCCAAAAAAATGTCCCCACAAGCATAGCTACACTGGGAATCCATATACACCCAGAGTCACAGCTTGATGATGTCAGAGGACATTCCTGTAACCAACATCCTGATTTTCAGCCATACATTATTTCATTCATTATTATTAAAAATGAAATACGTCCAGGGGGACACAAGGGCGGCAGTATAAATCCTAATAAGGTCCTGACTGCATGTCAGATATCTGAAACACAAACAACCTCAAGTACATTTGCAATACGCACACACACGTACTCTCTCTCGCGCTCCCTCGCTCTCTCTCTCTTTTTTCTTCTTTCCCTCTTGCTTTCTCCTTCAACCTCTCTGTCTCCCTCTGTTTCTCTCCCCCTCTTTTATTTCCAGAGGATTACATTATAGATTCATGGCACAGCTATGGGTAAAAGTCAACCAGTCCTTAAGGTTCCTGCTTCTAACAGCATTGTACAAGAACAGACATGGAAACAGACCCAAGGAAATATCGGTTTATCATTTTAACTTCTTGATATAAATTGACCAGAAATAATAGAATTGAATATATATTTTTAGGCCATACATTTACTAAAAATTCCACAAAAAGAGATAAATTGCAGACTAATCTGTATCTAGTCTGGCATAAAAAGAAATAAAATATTTCAAGGCCAGCTCCATTTTCATGTTAACCATATGAATAGAATTTCCTTGGTGTTTTTCGTCAGTGATGCTCATAGTTTGCAGTATTTAACTGCTGTCAGAAAGTGACATATATTAAAGTCTTAAAGAGACATTTTCAGGCATACATTTAAAATATAACAACTTTAACCTTTTAGCATTGTGTAAATCAAGTGATTTAAAGTTTGCTGACAGCCTTACAGCTAAGACGATGCTTCTATCGTGTGTGTGTTTTTTTTCTCCTTTTTTTCTTTATCTCCTAAATCCTTACTTCTGGATTTCCCCAGAGTCTTCCATTTATTTGAGCGTCCACACAGTCTAGATGACAGTGAGTTAACAGGTGGAAAAGAGCTGATCAAGCCCAGATTATTCTGAATATGATAGTCCACAGCGTCCACTTACAACGAGATTGGCAGCTGTTGCTGCTGGTTGGCATGATTTGATCCAAAATGACCTGTTGTTGTTGCTCCACATTATCCAGACTGGACAGCAAAGTAAGCCATTGTATTATTTATAGCGCAGTCCCTGTGTAATGCATCCCAGGACTATATATTATCACACAAGTACACGCATGCGCAAGTGAATGGCCTAATAGAGTAACACAGAGATTGATTCAGACTTCTAAACAGGCCAGCATCCTTTTTTACTTAATAATCTTCTCTCCTCTTAAGTTTATATCCTCTTGCTTATTCATCATCATGAGCAACATCCCTTTAAAAAAGGCATGTGCACAAAAAAGCATGTTTTATATAAAAAAAGAAAAAAACAACAAAACGGACGGAAGGATGAAGAGAGATGAAATGAGAGGAAAAAATACACACAGTCCAAACAGGGAGAATTGGAGCGCAGCACATCAATCATGAGGATGATTATTATGGCAGTTGTCATGGCAACCCCCTTCCATCCCCCTCTGCCTCTCTCTCTCTCTCTCTTTCGCTCTCTCTTCATCTTTCTCTCCCTCTCTCCTTCTCCCTATTTTCTCTTGAAAATCCATTTAAATACATTCATACATCAGGCAGGGCAATAAAGACAGATATACGTAGATAAATAAGAGAAAAAAACCCTGAATATGTATATATATTATATATATTAGCGTGTATTGTTTATCTTGTTTATTTCATGAGCTTTTTCAAAAAGGCTTGTTTTTGTTTCTTAAAAATGTCTTTATTAGTTTTTTATTACATCTTATTTTAGATTATACTTCGTTGGAAATAACCCGCTTTAACTTGTGAAAATGAGCGATCTTCAGACCTGGTTGCCACTGGGAAACAAAAAATATTTTTGAGTAACTTCCCTAAAAAAAAAAAAAAAAAAAATTTAACCCCCCCCCCCCCTATATTGGTGAAATAAACTGTACTTGCCGCTTATAATTTTTATCAGCCTTTCAGAAAAAGCATTTTATATCATTATTTTCTTTATCTTCATTTGTTATGACAAACAACGTTCAAATAAATATTAACTTACCGTTGTAATAACATCGTCCTCTTTACTGTTTTCATGTTTTAAGTCTAGTTAAGTCAAAACTTTCTTTCAAAACAAAAACATCGCGAGCTAAGCAGTAAGAAACCATAAGCGGAGTCTCTGCAAACCTGTTTCCGGTGACAGTCCTACAGTGCCGCCTTCTGGTAGGAAGTTGCATAACCATGATATATAACACATTTAAATATATTTTATTTCTTTAACTAAATTGTAATTAATATCCTTCATTCCAGTATCTTCTAAATTTTTGTAAGGGTTTTGTTCTTGGTGCTTTTTTTAAAATACATAGGAATGGAGGCTAGTATGTGGTAGTTGATATTTAGGCTATTTTTCTATATTATGTGTTCTATGTTACTGTAAACTCGAGTTATAAAATATTAAAATATTCAGTGGTTACCGTTGTTCTCTGCTACATTATTTACCATATATAGCTGTGGGACACACAACAAAACTACAACTTCAATACTAAAACTCAATGTCATTGTTTAATATTTATTATAATTTTAACAACTATTTTGTTATTAATTAGGGCCTTTGTACATATATATTCATTTATTTTGATTCATTTAACCTATAATTTGTACTCAAATCATTACATTGCTATGACATGCTTCGCCAAAAGGTGGCGCATTGCACTAGTTAGAATAACTCTTGCTGCCGTGATGATAACACCAGCTGAACGTGTATCTCCGTTATTCTTACCACGGCTCAGTAAATATACTCTCGGCCAGGTGAACATGCAGTATATATTGATTTGAATATGTGACGAGGTGATTAGTTTTGTACATACGAGCTAAAGTAACCGTTTATCGTGAAAGGGTTGAGACTTGTATAGTATTGAGTGAAGGAAATGAATGTAAAAAATGTATGATGATGTTTATTAGTCAATGTGTTTTATGTTATGTGTCATTTATTTATATATATAACTTGTATTTGTACACATTGTTTTGTTTTGTTTTTTCTTTCTTTCTTTAGCAGCATCACTGATAAAATGACTGTATTGACAATGTAGTTATTGTGGTTCAACTCTGAGGGAAAATCATAACACATAAAAATTGTCTAATTTACACTCAAGAAAAGTAAGTCATATTTACAGTAAAATATAAGTTCATGATATTTGAAAAAATTTAAAATTTAGTGAAAACAAACTAATTTGTTTTTCATGAACATAATAAATGTTTTATTATTGTTATTAAAATGTTGTTGTTTTTTTAAACTGTGTTGTGAAATGCTGGTGTGTCTTTGGAGTGAATAATTACCAAACTGTACCTGAGGATATGACCAGTCACAGTGTGACACGCAGCTGCTTGTCCTCACACCAGCAGCAACATCTCGAACAGTTTGGCCTCAAATATTTGAATTAGCTAAAGTTACCTGTTTTCCATCACATGTGACAGTTTCAGTGACAATATTCTGTATTCAAATCTCTCTGTGTTTGCTCAAATGTTCAGTTTGATTTCTACTAATTCAACAGAAAAAATATACACAGCAACAACTTGTATTGTGTCTGGAAATGCAGTTGAATAAATATATCATTTTAAGTTTTTACAATAAAAAAACAGGTTACAGTTTGGCACAAAAACATTGATTTTAACGTAATCTTAAATCTGGCCTAGAAAGACGATCACGCACCAGATCCCCTCTAACGATATGACCGCCGTGTGACATACATCCTGTATTTTTCTTCTGCCTACATTTCCTTCCTTCCTTTTATGGTCAGGTCAAGTTGCAGACATAATGTTTTTTTTAATTACAAAAAATAATAAAATTGAATTAACTCAATATACTTTAGTAGTTTATTCATATTGATTAACATCAAAAAACACAAATACGTTTTTTTTTTTGCTCTGTTTGTAGTCTGCCGTCTTCTTATTGGTCTGTGAATTTCTGCTTAACCCGAACCTGTATTTGGACAATCCTGGCCGTGGTGACCTTTTTGCTGTGACGCAACAGCTAATTATGCTAATATCAGTATCGCCATGTTAACCAGCCCTCAATAACCAGCAGTACTACAGCTGAACGTACTCTTTCATGTCCCAGTCTCAGCTGGTGGGACCAGATTAGTATTAGTTTACACTACAAACAAAAGTCCTCTGTTCACCTCCTCTCTGTTCTCTGGCCGTCCACAGTCTTCTTCTGTGGTATTCTTGTGGCACCATTACCTCTTTCAAAACCCGCCTCGCCAACCCATTCTCTCTGCACCCCCCACCCCCCCAGCCCCCCTCGACATTCAACTGCCCAAACTGCCCAAATGAATGGGGTTTTGTTTCACTGCTGCTCATGTTCTGTTATTTCCTGCCGTTTACAGAAATCCATATGTACGCGATGGCTGACGTCTCCAATCATTTTTTGTTTCTTATCTGATTTGGGAAACAATATAATAATATAATAAAGGTGTTCAACATTAATTGCACCACCCATATATCAGTGATGGGAGTCCTTAAACTGTTTCTTTTTTTTTTCTTCAACCCCATTGTTTCCTTCATGTTAAAACATTTCTGCACTGATGCCAGTCTTCTGAACTAAATCTGGCAGCCGCTCATGTGTTTATATATAGACTAGTCCCAGGCTGGTACCTGAACTGGGTTAGTTCTTCCAGGGCTTGATCCATTATTCTGAGATTCCAGAGAACCCAAATATCTCAGAGAAAACCTAGTTTCATTTAAAGTCGGCTGCTTGAGAAAACATTATGTTGACTGTAAAAAAAAAACACAAAGAGAGGTGACAGGTTTTGTTTTTTTTTATTGCACAAATACACACGTTTTCACCACATATGCTAAAACAAAGCTACATGGATTAGCATTCTTAACATCACATTACAAACATCCCACACTTTACGGAAGATCACGTTCTAAGACCAGGTCAACAAACGGGGGTTTGTGCTGCTGACTTTGTACTAACAGGAAGTTTTTCAGATCATGTCCCAACACCAGCCCAGAACATTTGTACCAGCCATAAACAGGTTGATATCGTGTTGTAGTTCCTAAAAAAAAAAAGGAAAAAACTCATCTTGGACTTTCTCTTGGGTAAAATTAGGATTTGTCATTGCACCAAGAATTTAAATCAAATGCAAAGTCATTACAAAATTGGCACATAAGGTATTTGGCAGCCAAATTTTTCTCAGCTCTAACACAAAGGTCTGTGGTTACCTGTCATGTTGTTGTCATTGTTAACAATAGTCAGAACGTGTCTTTGCCTTCATCTAATGTGAATACAGTCTTCCTAAATAGTGATGTTTGATATGTTTTGATCCATAATTCTTCAGTTTTTCTCTGTCTCTGCAGCCAATGTCTTGGACCACATGTAGTTGACGAAGACTTGTTCTTACTAACGTTGGACCCCCCCCCCATTTTAAATTAGCAAATGGGTTAGCAGGCTGTCATGGGTAGAACACTCCAAATACCTTCACTGTCTTTTGAAGCTACAAACTACAAACTGTGTTTCATTTGAAACCTTCTAACAATGTGGTGTGAATGTGTCCTCGTCTGTGTTCTAGGTTATGTAAAGGTGACGGCTGACCCGATGTTACACTGTTATTTTGTTTTACATGTGTTTCTTACAGTCCATTTCTTTTGAGTCGGGAGAAATACACCAGAGTCACCGGAATGCAGCGCGAATTGTGCGATCATTGAGCGGTTGTGTCGGGCGGAAGTTGTCCCCCAGCATCCCATCATTCCCTTCTGAAAGCTCCGCCCCTTTACCATGGGAACGCAGCCTCCGGAACTCCTCAATCTGCAGAGTGAGAGAACAGTTAAAAGTAAAACCTCAGAACATATATATATATATATGAATAATGTTCACACAGCCAATCAGTGTCTCTCTACAGCGTTCTGTACAGTAACATGTTTTTTTACCTGCAGCTGTGAGATGGTGAGAGGATACCGGTAGAGAATCCAGGTCACATTTTCACTGCAGGGGGGGGTGGTCAGAGACCCTTCGTACACCCAGTAGTCCCTCAGTAATGGGTCTGGGGATTAGAGTGAAGTTCAGAGAAATCATGAAGTGTTTCAAGGACAGAGCAGCTGCGTTACATTTTGGAACTCTTGTCTTTAATAAGCTGACTGTAGCCTTTCAGTTTTTATGATAATATAATGACTGGTACTGACCAGGTAACAGAGTGTTGGGGTTGAAGCAGGGAATGATCTTGTTCTTCCCCTGGAAGAAACGTTCCAACAACAGTAATTATGAATATTATTCTCACACAGGACTGTTGAACTACAGCAGTATCAACTCTTTGGGACCTTCAATATGACCTTTTCTCTGCCTCACCTTGTACTGTAGGTCCTGCAGGACTTCTGTGACCGCCTTTAGACCCAGATGCTCTTTGCCAATCTGATAAAAACAACAGTAAAAGGTCAAATCAGGTCATCATATACTAGTTTGATAGGATGATTTTATTTTTAAATTGAGTGTAGTTTGGACTTTATATTTTATAATAATATTGGTGAGAGTCTATTATTATTGTGTCCAACATCAACCCAACATTTAGGACCAGAGATTTTTTAAGCTTATCGTTTACATGCACAGCTGCTTGGGATAATATTTCTCACAATTCCTGGAAGGAAAAGTTCTCAAAGGCCACTGAGGTGCAGACAAAGTCAATGTTTTAAAAAAATATAGGACATGATGAGGGACAAGGACAAACACGTCTAAAAGGCACCACTACAGTTATGTGGGGAAAGTCTTTCAGCTCCACTTTATACAATACAATATATACATATACAGTATATATGTATATACAAATGTTATTATTTGGGCATTAATCTGTGAATTAGTGAAATTAGTTTTGGTCGGTTTTGTGCAATATTTGTTTTGTTGGAGTTTATTCTTGTGAAACGCTGTTGTTATATAAATACTATATACCTGTACGAAGAGAGCGATGATGAGGACTCCATTCTTCTTGCCCAGAGCGTCCTCTAAGTTCTTGAACAGAGTGCTGTTCCAGTGAATCAGGTGGAGCTGAGCATGGAGAGACAACAGGACACAACTTGAAGTGAGAGGCTGTTGTTGTGAACAGGTGTAGTGAACAGCAGTGAGGGTCTTTGTCACCAGCTGGTGCTGACTGATGGTTTCCAGTCTGAGTTCCTATGAGCCGTGTTAACAGACAGGCCAGACTGAGCCTCGTCCTAGAATAATTCATCAGATAACAGATGATGACAACATGAGGAACTAAGTTCTTACTTAATCTACGGGGGTATGCTGACAAACAGAGAGGGTGAAAGAACCGAGGTATGTTATAAATATGCACAATAGTAAAATAAAGTGCAGTTTTTAGACCACTCCCACTGACCAAATAGTTAAAGTACAAACAGTGTATTTTCTGCTTGCTTCTCCTCCCCCTAACGGCAGAGTGTGCTGATGTTTCCTTAAGAGATCACTATGAATTTGTTTACTGGGCTTTTTGAGCTCTTTCTGTCAAATAGACATTGTGTTTACTAAGGGCTGGGACAAACAAACGAGGCTTAAAAACATGTACTCCAAACTGCCTCATCTGACGAAGGAGAAAAAAGTTTTAAAAAGTCGCACAAGAGGAGAGGAATTCAACCGATGAGACCGTCCGTCAAATCAATCAAAACAGCAAATTAGTTGTCGTTATATAATTATTAAAATGACTTGATAACAGAATAGAATAGTCATATATATCACTCTTTTAAATTGAAATTCTCACTCAAGTGAATTGGAGGTCAGAACAGGTTCAGTGTTGGAGAATCCAACCGACGACAACAACAGAAATGCTGAAGGACGACTGATAGAGAAAGAAGCCTAAACACTTTTCCAGCTGTGAACACTAGCTCCAGGTCATCCTCTTGTATTTATAGTATACGTAGTCTTGTATATGCTGTATGCGTGTACATGGGTGCATGTGTGTACTGCTGTGTACGCACTCCATACCTCCATGGGGAAAGCCTTGAAGTTAACTGTGTGCTCTGAACCTCTCTGGTTCTCCTTTCCCCAGTGGAATCGAACCTCGTGAAGCTCATACTCGTGGTGGCTCGGCAGTGGACCTCCACTGACCACTGACGAAAAAATCCCAGGCAAACACAAGGCAATTTGGGACGATGAAACAAGAAGTTTTAGGGTCAGTTTCTAAGGTCAACAGTTTGTCGATAGGTCATCTGGGAGTCACCTGATTTGGATTTGAGAACGATGCGCGCGGTGTGTCCATCGTTGATGACCTCACAGTCTCGGCACACGACGTAGTTTGGTGATAAACTGATGTCTAGAAGGGAGGGGTCGTACTGGGCCTCCCGGGAGTTCAGGTTTATCGGAGACTGGTACTCGCCGTTGGCTGCTGGGAAATGGAGTCCCCACTCTACACCTGTGGACAAAGAACAGAATGAATCACGCAGCTCGTCTTTAACTCCAGTTCCTGTGGGTCTCAGTGTTCATACCTGTGTTCTAACACAGGTCTTCACACACACTTTGACACTTGGACTTTTCAGATGTGTTGCTACGTCAGAATCTAACGTGCAAGTGGAATTTCATGATCTGATCAGAGTTAGAGTTAGATGAACCACAGGTGGTTGATCATCTCTCACACTCAGAACAGTGTAGCACACAGAGAACACCAAGGAGGAGGAGGAGGAGGAGGAAACAAAAACATTTGGCCAGTGTCATGTTCAGGAAAGCTGTGTGGATGCACTGACAATCAGCTCGAACCACAGTCACACAAACACACACACACACTCACTCACCACAGTGGCTAACTGTTCACTCCATCCACTATCACATTCCCTCTGTGCTCAGCAACTAAAGCCTTGACAACGATGGACAAGAGGCAGTGAATGCTTCACTGCAGCTAAACTACACATAAAAGACTGAGAAGAGAGAGGTGGAACAGAGGGAGAGAGAGAGAGAGAGGAGGTGAAAGGGACTTATTCTTATTCTAACCCATTCCTCACAACTTCAGCGGTTCTACAGCAGGTAGCGGGTGATGTGTACCATCGAACAGTTGATGCAGGAAGGGTGTAGATTACAAATTTAAAGCAACTTTGCTTTAACCCTTTAGAGACATATTCTTAGTTAGAACCAACTGTGAGTCATTTGTCCTGGTAGAAAACACTAAAAACAGGATTTTAGTAACAACCAAACATGTTCAGCGTAAGTTCTAAGACAAATGGCCCCAAAATATTTTCTGGAATAAAAAAATAAAAAAAGAACTACCAAAAACACTTTCATTATTAATCAACTTAGCCTTGAAATGGAACGAGACGACAGTTCTATTTGTGAGCCAGTGATATGATTAGATGCTAATCAGTTTAGGAACCGTTAAACACCACACAGAATACTTACAGGAGGAATGTGACACTTCAGTAACACAGCACATCCCTCAGTGCTCCACCAGGCAGCGGTGAGAGAGAGACAACAGGCTGTCACGTTATGTTTACACAGACCAACAACGTGGCATCACAAGATTCTGTGATTTCATCTGAATTTGACTCATTAGATAACAGCTTAACAGAATTATGACCTGGGTTTGACCCACTGGAGTCAGACTTGTCTGGTCCAACAACGAGTAAAAATCTGATGGATTATTGTGGTGTGTTTTTAATTTGATTCTATTGAGCCAATATGCAAAGCCATATTCCTTATGCGTGTGTAAACACACTTGTTACTAAATACTAATCCTGATTCTGACGGTCAATATTCATTATACAGATATTACCATATACTGTTAATAAAATTTAATTTAGGGTCTGGGTCCCTTTTTGCCCCTGACCCCCCTGACCCCTGTGTCTGAGATGGGGACTGGCCTACCTTCCTCGTAGCCCCAGCTCTTCTCATCTTTCTGGTTACACTGTGACTCCTGGTTCATGCTGTCGCCCATGTTGCACGAGTGTTTGTCAAGGTAGCTGCAAAACCAGTCTGTCTTCCCAGTTCCTAGTGGTGTCCTTGTCACACTGGTTTTGTCCACACACTTGGACACTTGGAGTCCTGTCTCTGCAGAATGTTGAATGGAAAGTTTTTATGTTGTACTTGTCTTTTCTGTAAATGCCTCTCTCTCTCTCTCTCTCTCTCGTCCAGACAGAACTACCTGATACCTCTCCTGTTTCTTCCTCTTACAACTTTTCAGTGTTAGGACTCTGTGCCCCTCTACGTCTCCTATCTCTCTGTTGCTCCTCCCT